TGATCAGTTTAGGTGAGAGAGCTTAGAATGTGATTAATAAACATGGAGATTTATAGAGTGCTTGTGTATTTATAGGCAGTTTGGGGGAAGAAAGAAAGAAAGGGAAGTGAGATTTGTGGTATGCTTGATTGAATTAGTGGAGGAAAATGAGTTTACCAGAACTAATGTTTTACAACTAATTATATAAATATCATTAGTTTGGTTAAATCTTAATAAATTTTTAATATATATGCATACTTTTTTGTGTATAGGGTAATGTAATTAAGGGAATGACTCTAGGCCCCTTACGGAACCATTCCATCGGGATTTTTAACAGTAAATTATCTATCATATATTAATCTATATGTGTATTTAACGGGTAAAAATTCCGACAGAATGATCGGACTATAGCATTTTCCTGTAGTTATTGTTAAAAATAATATATATAAATAAAAATATGATATTTATTAGTACGAATTGGATCAACCTGCGAAACAATACCGGGGGCGAGCCCTGGCGTAGACTCTGACACTCGAATCAAAAATTGTAGAAGGAAACTTATTCAGAGTAGTGAAATGAATCCTTTATAAGAGATTCAATAATATATTTCGTAGGATAAATGTGTTTTCTTAGTAAACAAGGAGTCAATTCCTTAGAATCGAGGAGTAGATATACACAAGTTCAGTTTGATATCTCATTAGGAATATTTTTATATTTCTCTATAGATATTCAACTTAATATCATATATCTTTATATTGTAGAGCTTTAGTCGAACCGGAATAATATGGATGTGTATGTGAATGTGGGGGTGATACGAGGAATAAAACCCGATGTGGATATATAGCATTGAACTTGTACCTGTTATTTTGGTAGTGTTTGGTTTGAGAGATTCGGTGTAGAGTAGGAATTTAAACTTTATTTTAGTTAGTTGAAAAATCGCGACAAAAAAATCAAGTGGACTTGGGAAATAACAAAAAAGAAAAGGGGACAAAGAACTTAATGCAAAAAAATTTAGTTTCTCGCTCTTTATTGGGTTAATTATGACAAAAAAAATTGTTACATTTTATATTAATTGAGTAATAATTAATATTTTTTTAGCGATTGCATCATATAATAGTTATTAATAAAACCGACTAATATTACATTAAATGGTCTATGAAAGTTACATAAGCATAAAAAAAAATATTGTGAATTTTTTTTTTCAATTTATTTATTCTAGAATCAATATAATCTTTTTTTTCTTTTAATCTTATTAAGCGATTATTTTTTTAAGTACATTAATTGGTTTCAATGATATAGACAAATCCACTGTTTTGAGATCCGGGACCCGGTCGACCCGGAGCCGGAACCGGTCCGGGTGGAATATTTGGACCGGGCAACCAAGGACCCGGTCAAACCCGGTCAAAACCCGGCCGACCCGGCAGAGACCCGGCCGGGTCAACCCGGTTGACCCGGTCCATATATATTTTTTATATATTTTTTTATTTTTTTTTTATTTTTTTTTTAAAAATAAAAATATGTATATATGTTTATATGGTAAATATTTATCATGAGATACATATTATTAACACTTTAATATACAAATTTTATACACAAAACATTTAATTTTGTTACTTTTATGTATATTTATATAACAAAAATACTCTATATATAATTTTAAAAATTTTAAAATTAATTATCCGGTTCAGCAATTGACCCGGTGACCCGACGGTTGAACCGGTGACCCGGTGACCCGAGGACCTGTCCGGGTTGATCACCGGGCCGGGTTTAAAAACTATGGCCAAATCCCTTGAAATCGCATAAAAAATTACTATAATAATAAATTCAATATTTTTTTTGCTAATTAATTGATTATGATCCCACAAAATTGTAAAAATCACATTATTCATTATATTTTATCATCAATATAATGATTCATATGCATTTAAATTATTTTCTATTTTTTATATTTGATAATTTTCAAAATTTCAAAATACAATTATATTATATAACATATAATTTTAATATTATATGTATATATATAATTTATAATATTTTATTTATATATTTGTATATGGAGAGGTCGAATACTAGTTGGATTTTAATATTGACATTTTTCCTCATATAGTTGTTTATTTATTTATTTATTGCGTGGTCAATGTTGTGCTGATGTTGTCCACCACGTCTCCTCGTTGAACGCTCAACACGTGGCTGCATACGGGTTGATGTGACGTGGCGACCACCAATTCGTATAATTTTTTTGCATGTCGGCTATTACATGCAGTCGCTGGGTCTTGGGACATTGTTATGGCCTTATGGGCACTCCAAGTCTCCAACCCGCCAAAGACCTTTGTTGTTTGGTCAATTTGAAAAAAANTCATATTTAGCTGTAGTGAACTTTGAAGTGATGGTATCAAACTCAACTACAACTGTTACACGAGTTGTTAATAATAAATTCGGTTCGACTCGTTAAGATCTGATGAGTTTAGCTGCCTCATTTGATAAACAAACTGTATCGAGTTTGTTTAATAGATCGTTTAATTAACGCTACCAAACGAGCTGTTTCGAATTTATTTAATAGCTCGTTTACTTAACGAGTGCAACTCCGCTAAGATCTTTTAGTTAGAGAGCATAATATTCAACAAATAGGGACTATTTATTAGTTTTCAAATTAATTATTAATTTAGTTTGACTTTTAAAATTCAAGTTCGACTCGTTAACGTTGGCAAACGACTAAGCTCGAACTCGTTAGTTCTAGTAAAGACTCAAGGTCTAATTAACCCGAATATCGAGAGTGAGCTCGAATTGACTCGTTTGCAACTCTCAATTAGTTTTTGTAAAGATACAAATTCGATACGAATATCAAAAGCTTGAGTTAGTCTAAATTCGCTTACAATTCTATATGACGTGACTGAATTTATTCCATCTAACCACTCCTCTAAAAACTCTTGTTTTTTTTTTTTTCTTCTTTTCTACAAAGACTATCAATTTTCTATTCTTAAAATATCAATAAATAAACCATTTATTAGGAATCTCATGCACCACTATCAATGTCAAATTTTCGACTTTACACGTGTCTTCGCAAGAATATTTGAAATAGAAACACGCATCTCTCTCAAGGGAGAGAAAAAACGAATTAAATAAAGTTTGGAAATTGAAATGTCAAAATGAGTTTTAATACCCCGAAAGTGACTTGGTGGGCTAGGGATGAGTGTGGGGGAATTGGGGATTTATATTGTATCTGGTCCAAAATTCAAGAAACTGGGATCAATTATTGACGACCCATAAAATTTTTATTTTATTTTAAATTTATATTATTCCAAAATATAATCATATAAAATAATTAAATATATACATTCCTTTGTGGCAGGACTTGCTTTTGAATTCATGATGGTAGGGGTTGAATTTTACTGGTTCTAACATGAAAGCAACTTGACATGGAGACTAGATAAGGAAGTGCGTACAGAAAAATTATGGGCAAGTGCGCCTTTTAGCCTCTGGCGGCCTTCTGCGGTATCTGAGGTGATGTGGTGTAAGGGGTAATCGAGATAGGGCCTAGGATGTGTCAAAGACTTTTCAGACTATAATGAGTTGTATGCAGGATGGTAATAACTAATGTGACGTGGCAGTGTGGGCCGCGTGTCGGCACGAAAAAGCAGCATTCGGAGGGTTTTGAGTCAGTCAGGACCACGTGTGTGCATTAGAAAAAGTCATATTCGGAGATTCTCGAGTTGGAGGAACTGGGTTAGTAGAAGAATGAATGTTCGGAGTATGTTCATCACGACTCTAGACTGGAAGAAGTTCTGACCAAAGAACAAGACCGGGAGACAATCCTTGACGAAACTAGTATGCAAAGTGGGCTTATGCCGTTCCGGTACCTCGGTATTCCTCTTACGGCGGATCGGATTACCGGTAGGCTTTTCGACGACATGATCAATCAAATAGAGAGTCAATTGAGTGGATGGAGAAGCCAATCACTTTCGTACGCCGGTAGATTGGAACTCATTCGATCGGTCATTCAAGACATTGCTTGCTTTTGGATGGGCGTCTTCCATTTGCCGGGCATAGTTCGAACCAAGATCACGCAACTTTGTAGAAGATACTTATGGGGCTCCTCAAAAGCTCCCGTTGCTTGGGATACTCTATGCTTACCTCGGGCGGAGAGCGGATTGGGACTCCGTAACTTGGAAGCGTGGAACCGGGCCCTTCTCATGAGGACCCTTTGGAATATCCAATCAAAGAAGGACTCTCTTTGGTACAAATGAATAAACAATGTCTACTTAAAGGAGAAATAGATTTGGGAGTGGCAAATTTCCAAATATGACTCTCCCCTCTTCAAATCCCTCTTTGACATCCGACTTAACTTGATAGAAAAAGCGGGTAGTGTGAGAGGTGCGGAAGGCCTTCTTCGGTCGTGGAGTCATCAAGATAAACAAGATGGCACGAGCAAATGCTATGACTTCCTCCGACCCAAGGGAAGCGT